TGTGTAAACAACTAAAATTAAAATATTTGAATTCTGCAAGAAGACAAATTTTATTTAAGAAGAGAAGCAGAGGAATAGCGAACCTCTCTCTGCAATATCAGGTGGAAGCACTGTGTCTTCGATCACAGCAGGTTTATTTTTTCAATGAATCTTGTTTTTGTTGAAAACTGTTTTTCTTTACCTCTTTTCTGAACCAATAGGATGAATATGAAAGAAAGGTAGTAGACGAAACCTCTCTGCAATTTCTAAGGTTTTTACTATTGCCAACTGTATTCATCTTTTTCAATAGCATCTTTTTTTCATTGAAAACTGCATTTTTTCTGAACCAATAAAAAAACAACCAATTTACTGCTGTGTTTCTGCCTTTATAATAAAACATTGAATGCGCAGATTGAGATTGCTTCCTTCTATAAAGTAATATTGATAAGAAGATTCATCAATGAGAAAAAAGAAAACGATGAGCAAGATAAATGAGTAATATAAAATATATAAAACATGATAAATAAAATGGATAATATCTCAGTAAGCGGGTACTACTTTACTTTATTAGACTGGACATAGGTGCATAGAAAATAAAATGGACATCAGGTGATATCTCATTAAGGAGACACCCTATTGGAGGGAACATCGGTGCATGGCTGTGTATAATTATGGAAGCACTCTCTATTGGAAGGCACGTTGGTTATAACATTTCTCTAATGGCCTTGTAAAGATGGAACCCTCTTACCAATAATAATAAATTTCTGTGTGATAACAAGGAAACACCTATTACCAGAAAAACATCTCTGCAATGTCCAATGAAGCTACTGTCTCCTCAGGTCACCGATTCTTTACTCTTCACCATCAACTCGCTCCCAACTCAGCACTGAACTCGGTCACTGCTTTTTCATCTAAGATTCATATTTGTACTGAATGGTGGTGGCAATGGATTCAGCTTGATTCCAATGGTATTTATTTTCTCTCTTTGTAAATCATATTTTTGTTCTCTTTTCTCACATATGAACTGGATCAGACCATACCCTACAACATATGTTACTTTGTGCATTGAGGTTTTGATCAGACCATACCCTACAAAAATATCTTATCTTGCATCAGGTACTCTATATCAAAGTGCCAAGACATATGATTTTAAGTCAGTTGCAGAAATGCTTGCAGTTAAGAAGACTTCAGAAACATTAAATCAATCCAATGAAGGCATCACTGGATACTATAAATTGGATTTGTCTAAGAATTTTAAACTAATGACTCCTATTTGTGAGGAAGCTTCCAACACTGAGTAAGTATTTTAAATTCTCTTAAAAAATATTCTTTTTTTATTTTTCTTTTGTTTTATTACTTTCATCAATTCATCCTTCTTTTTTTTTTTTTTCTTAATTTTGTTGTCTTAATATCAATTAAAGTGGTTGGAAACTTGCTTAATATATGTACAGAAAACTAAGGAGTTATATTCAGGATGAAAATTCAAGGCATGCAAAAGTAGTGAAAGAGGCAAAACTTAAGATTGCTGCAGCTAAGGAAAAGGTAATAGAAAGCTATATTTTGCTGAAAACCGTTTTCTTTTTGCCTCTTTTATGAACCAATGAGTTGGACTGGGACCATAGGCTATGAAACAAACTATAGAGTTTTTCATTCCAACTCAGCAATTTTGTGGCTGTTGTTTGATATTTGTATTTCTGCATAGCAACGCACCATGTTTAGCTTTTCAATGAATATTAATTTATTTGAAAACTGTTTTTCTTTTTGCCTCTTTTTAGAATCAATGAGCTGAACTTGTAGGGTTTTCAATAGCATTTTTTTCTTTTACTGAAAAATGTATTTTTTCTGAACCATAGAAGAACAATTTACTACTGTGTTTGTACGTTTGTAACAAAAAAATTAAATCTGCATATTAAAATTGCTTCCTTCTATAAAGTAATATTGATTCTCGCAAATGTAAAAATGGAAGAAGTTAAATATTTAATTATCCTCTCATCAATGAGGAGAATAGAAAAAGATGAGCAAGTAAGGTAAACGACTAACGTATCATTTAATCTATTACAAGGATGCCATAAATAAAAAATATTTTTCACCTAAGTTCTATGGTAACAAATTATTATAAAATTAATCTGAAAATTAAATATAATACATATAAATATTTTTTTTTCTGTTTTTCATTATTTACATCCACAAATTTCTCAACTCGTCGTCTTTCTCAACTTAAAAAAGAGTTCTAAAATTTAGCCTTGTCAAAGAAATTAAATATCTACTTGTACATCTCAGTTACATTCGTAGAGTACAATTTATGTATTTGCAATTTTTCATTTTGCATGTTGGAGTGTGGTGATTTCTTTTATTACTCTTTGTTCATTTTGTTTCTTGATTTTGAGGTACATTTTTGGATGATATCACATTTGTTTTGTTGGTTTTCCACTGTGAAGTGCCGGCAAAAGAAGGAGAATTGTCCGATTAAGTTATGCCACAAATGCCTTTTGAGTAGGTCAGTTCAGCATTATAAATCTTGGATTATTTATTTATTTATTTATTTTAAATGTTTGTATTTTTCATAGAAGTGTGATATGCTTAGTACCACTGTTGAGGAATAAATCTCAAGTAGGTTACTGCTATATTCCTTC